TATATATATATATATATATATTTATATATATATAGCCAATTTGTTATCATTTTGTCACTTCCGATGTCATATCAATCTAGTTTTTTGAAATTAAAAAAAAAAAAATTAGAAGAGAACAGAAGGATAGGTTGTATTGTTTTATAAATACATTAAACTCAAATAATACTTACAGAAGTTGATGAAATTAGCAAATGCCAAAAAATAGTATTAAACTTTTTAAACATTCATCGGATGTACTGTAAATATTGAATTAATTAAATATAGCATTTAATATTTTTTTAAACGATTTATAAATTATCAGCAAAAATGATTGTAAATTAATATTCATACTTGAGTAATTATTCGTTATCAAGGTATTTTGATAAGCAATCAATAATTTATTTCAAAAACATTTCATACTTTTAGCAATTAACAAATGACTCCAACAAATTCTATATTTGACAATAATAATGGCAGCTAAAATAAAACTTTGTAATTAAATAAGGCTTAGTAATTAAAATTGGGCTTTAAATTTTTCCAGAATTCATTTTATCTATTTTAACTCTAACATGATAACATGTATATCACACTTTTAGAACAACCAAAATAAATTTACTTAATTGAAGATGAATAATTTTATTCGATCGATACTATGAACAAGATAACTTATCATATCATTGTTATCATATCATATCATTGATTGTCAACAATCCATTAATATCCGTTTTTTTTCTTGTTATCATTTTATCACATTTATTATTATCATTGAATATATATTCACATCGTATATGGTACTCGATAAACAGTATTCAGTATTGTTTCGTCAATCAATATTGGTCTATCAGTAATTGTTTTGTTTTTATCACGAAACTTATGTTAGTATTTAATTTGAATTTGAATTTTAAACGGACTTTTCCTTATTTTTATAATCCTTCGAACATTGAAATGTTTGTTTATCTTCAATAGTTAGAATAAATTTTCCATTTTGATTTCATTAATTAAATGAATGACAAAATTATTTTTATATTTTCTATTTTGATTTCATTAATTAAATGAATGATGAAATCATTTTTATATTTTTTATTTCGATTTTATTAATTGAATGAATGATAAAATCATTTTCATATTTTCCATTTTGATTTCATTAATTAAATGACTGATAAAATCATTTCTATATTTTCTATTTTGATTTCACCAATTAAACGAATGATAAAATCATTTTCATATTTTCTATTTTAATTTCATTAAATGAATGATATAATTTTTTTTTTTTTGCACATCGATATAAAGGAGAAATGATAATAAAATATTATCCCAATATTAATTAATCATAAATTGAAATTAAATTATTATTTTCCTCACAACAACCTTTTCCTCATATTTTTCCCAATTTTTTGTTTGTTTATTCCTTTGGTTATTTGTTTGTTTATTTGTTTGTTTGTTTTTTTTTATTTGCTACCTTATTCTTCCTTTCCATTCCATCGTTCATTCATTTTCTTCTGTAACATTTCTTTGCTCTTTGGAAAATTTATTTAAATTTTTTTCAATAACGCAATCAAATTCTAGCGAGCAGATTTGAGAACATTAATTAATTAACACTACTTTTAAATTCTAATCAAAGCTTTTAGGAATATTATTACTGTTTAATGCATTTGACAATACGAATAAAATGAGCTATGCAAATTAATTTTTAAAATTAAAACGATTTCAATTCCAATATTTCAACTCTTCATTTATTATTCTTGTCCTGAATCGAATCCAATTAATTAATCAATCAATTAACCAAACAATCAATCAATAAATGTAATCTGCGGAATCACGCAATGACGAATGTCTTTTATAAAATGGCATACTTTCATCGTATCTGAAAATTAATTAAAATTTTTACAAAACATTAACTTAAAAAAAAACCAAAATAAATTATTAAAGAATTTTAATTTTTTTTTAAAAATTTCAATAAATAATTCAAAAATCGCACATTTTTTTCTTTCACTGATTATTAACATACTGTTAAATTGAAACTATCTTTGATTCTTATCATATCTTTATCTTTTTTTCTTTTTTTTTTTAGTTGTTAAAATAAAAAGTAATTACTTGATGTCGCCTGCATTTGATGGACCCCAAAAAGTGTAGAATGGATGTCCACCGCCACGTTTTGGTTGTTGATAGTAATAGTATGGTGAAAATGTTTGATGTCGTTTCATGTTTGGAAAGAAATGATTTTCAAAATTATTTCCTTTCATTGGACTAAATGCTCGTGCACCAGCTCGTTTTGCATTCAAAAATAATTGTCTAAAAAAAAAGAAAAATGAAAAAAATAAAAAAAAGAATTTCAATAATTAAATTTTAATTTAAAAATTGTCAAAAATTTTTATGAAACTATACGATAAAATGGTGTTATATAATTTTAATTAGAATATCAATTAAAAGATAATTATAAAATAATTAGTAATATATTTAAAAAATTTATAAAACAATTATAATAACTGATCGTAATATAATAAAATATAATTAATTGTGATATAATAATTAGTTGTGAACATTTTATGGAAAGAAAAAAAAAATGTGTAATGAAAATGATTAATTGTGAAAATAATTCATTGTGATATAATTAGGATAATTATGATTAATTATGAAATCATGAAATTTTGAATAACTATTATCAATAGGAATAACTGATATGATAAATAAGTTAATCGAACTGATAAAAACTAATTAAAAATTATTTATCCAAAAAAATATTATCATAAAGCATTTTCTTAGTTGATTATTTGTAATTGTTATAATTTTTTCATTTTATTAATAGAGCAAACCTTTAGTTGATATCATTATTATCAGCAGTTAATGGATTTAATTAATTTAATTAATAGCCATCAGAATACTTTTTTTTATCATTAATAATTATACTCGAGAAATTTTTTTTTTTGCTTTATTTATAATTTTATGAAATGATTATAATATACCGTTCAAGATCTTCTGCTTCTGGACTTGTTAATATCGACGAATGCTCCTTCTCATCATCACTAATACCTAAAATTAGAAATTTGAATAAGGAAATGAGATTTATTCATCAAACTTCTAAATTTATTTATTATTAATTTATTTTTTTTTTAGAATTTATAAATTGAAAAAGGAAGGATGGGAAAAAAATTTTTTTTTTAGCCAACCAAATTTTTGCTTTATTGGTATTTTCAAATTTGAAAATATATTTTAAAGTCATCATAATTGCTTAAATTAGAGCCATTTTAATGAAATTGTAAAATTTGTAATTATTAATGAAATAAATTAAATTGCATCGCAATGCATCAAATTATGGTAAAATTAGATTTGAATTTTGAAATAAATAAATGCAAATTTTTAAAATAAGTAAATAAATAAACAAATAAAAATGAATAAGTAAATAAAATAAATGAATGCAAATTTTTGTATTAATATATTTATTTGTAAAACAAATAAATTAATGCAAATTTTCCTGCAAAACTTGAATGTTTAAAATTTTAAAAAATAATTAATAAACAAAAAATTTATTTTTTAAATGAAATATTTTAAATATATGAAATGAAAACTTCCATAACAATGATTCGTTTGTAAAATTTCTTAAAATTATTTATGACGTTTTTTTTTTTTATTTCATCAAAATTCACTTCGTTATTCTTATAAAGTTATCATTGTCAACAAACTATTTGTAAAATATTTGCTATCAATGATTGAAAGAATGAGATGAAGTTATTTGAAATTTATTTGTTTCATAAATAAATGAAAATTTGATTTAGTTCAATTAAAAAAATGACAGTTTATTTTTGTTCCATTTTTATTTGTTCCATTTTAATTATTTTTAATATAATTTACTATTCTTGCTTAAATTCGAATATAATTTACTATT